CGCGCCCGCTGCTAACGCCCCGGGGCGGGCAGACAGAAGGGGCCGGGAAGAATGAGGGAGAGCAATGGCTCTTTAATAAATTAGCAAAATAAACAGCATTTATATATATATATATATATATTATATTGCCGCATCTCAGCAGATGACGTGAGTGAAGCAGAAACGTCGATCTCCCGGTTTGACGCAGATATGGAGCCCAAGGTACCATCAGTCCAGGCACCCTCCTCGGTGATGCCCGATGTTGTGGTACTCAAAACCTAAACCCACCAAGAGATAAAATAGCTTTTTTGTAAGCCAGAGACACAGCTTCCAATGAGAAAGAAGTGAAATTACCGTATGATTTCATCTTGCCGTCTCCTTGCAGAAGTGATCAAAAGAAAGTGATCCAATCTTTCCCCCTCTTAAGAAAAAAAGCATTACCTCGCCTGAAAGGGAAGGGGGAACGAATGAGCACATCTAATGCTTTGGGAGGATCATCTGTTATATTAAAAACGGATGCGATTTGCAGGGTACAAGTCTCTGATTCTCGTGATAGCCAGGAGCTGAACTGATCAGGTATTTCAATCGTGCATTGGGTGATCCCAAGCAGGGCAAGTGCACGGCGAAGTCCGGTGGCCCCGCGGGCTCCCTCAGTCGTCGTCCCGGACGTACTGCCCTGCCTCCCAGCGCTGGGCCATGGCGCTCTTGTGACGAATCACTCTGGTGCTTTCCACAACCTAAAGAACCCAGAAGGCACACTATCTTTTTATAGAGAAGACATTTTTATAAGCACTCTTTTGCACGACTTGCCCTCCCAGCCAGAAGCCCCCCTGGCAGCGGCCACGACGCGTTCCCCCCAGCGCGATGCCCACCCGCGCGGGGCCCGTGGCCCTGCGGGAGCCGAGACCCCCGTCCATGCCGTCAGCCGCCAGGGCCGGGGGGCGAGGGGAGCGAGACGCCAGGGCGGCACAAGCAGAGCCCGTGAGTACATAAAGGATTTTACCTCCGTGTTGATCTTGTCGACGGGTTCGATGCCTGCGTACTGTGAAAAGGGGGAAAAAGGGTTCAGATAACAGCAGCCTCGCAGGGAAATATCCAGAGGCGGCCGGGCACGGGGCATGGGGGTCAGGCTGCCGGGCAGGGGAGCGGCAAGGTGAGATAGCGTCTGCAGCCGTGCCCTCGTGCCCTCCCCGGAGCCAGGGGACCAGGCCGAGGCCAGGACCCCCCCAGAGAGCGCCGCTGCTCCCCCCCAGTCCCCCCCAGCGCTGGCACCCCTGGGCTGTGGGGCGCTGCCCCGGGGGCTCGGCACAGCCCCTTGCCGGTGCCACCACCGCCGGGTCCCCCACCGAGGCGAGCAGCTGGACCTCCAGCTCTGGGTGGTAGCCGGGCACGGCCGCCTTCGGTCCCGGAGCCACCAGCCTTCTCCCGGGCTCCAGCCCCCCAGCCACGTGCTGCCCGGCGCAGTCACCTTTCCATCCTCCTTCACCCTCCTCCTCTGCTCCTCGAAGGGGCTGGAATGAGCCGAGTTGGGGGCGAGGGTCTCGGTGCTGCCTGGGGAGGGACCG